GTGGAGAATTTGTAGTAAAGATAGTGGTGATAATGAACTCAAACAACTAAAAGAAATCTTCATAGAGAACGGGTATCCCCTATGCTTCGTTGAGGCCAATAGCAAAGTACGTGGAAGAAGTACAGAGGTTGACAAGGTAGCTAAACGCGTATGTTGCACCTAAAATTAGAATTTGGAGATGACACTGAGAGTGAGGTATTTAAAAGTCGTCTGACCAGATCACTGAGAAAAACATTCTTTGCTACCACTTTACGAACAACCTATTGTAACTGTCCACCGGTGCACCTTAATGATGTCTAGGAAATGTTACCTCGATTGTCTAATTCCATGTGTATTTATATGTTCACCTGCTTTTGTGGAGCTAGGTACATAGTACGTTCTTCAAGAAATATATCTTGCCACCACATTCGAAAGCCCCTCCAATTTTGGCTGAGCAAAGGAGAACGTGGAAGGTAAAGGTATTAATTCATCGATATTTCAACATATTGTAGATACTGACCACTCAGCAGCATCTGACACATCGCCTGATATAATCTACAAAGTCCGACAAAGTTTTTTGAAACGGAGCGTACGAGGGCAATACACAACACATAAAATCAGAACTTTGTGTACAAAAACAATTTGTACGATCTCTTTCGTTACCATGGTCTCGTTTTTTTTATTATGATTAAAATATCTATAGAAATTGATTCATTCAGTTTTGTGCATAAAAAGAAATTTAGATACCATTTTTTGGACAAATTTAGATGATACAGAAAACTAAAATGGATACATAAACAAGTCAATAAAATGTGTGAATTATAGAATGAACATTATTCAAGTAAAGGGTTATCAAAAAGCAGTTTAAGAGTAATAGGATACACTTCAGAATTATAATTTGTATTCATCGTAGAAGTATCAAAGATAGGCCTTCAGGTGAACATAGAGAAAACAGAGGTGATGAAGATTCCTGGGCAACACCACCAACAGCAACAACAACAACAGACAACAATCAGCCAACATAAATGGGAGGAACCTGAAAGAAACTACCTCCTTTACCTACCTGGAAAGCATCGTCTCAACTGCAGGCGGAACTGACGAGGATATCAAAGCAAGAATCGGAAAAGCAAGGTAAGATTTCACTACTCTCAAGTCTGTGTGGAGGTCAACAACACTCAGCATCAAAAATAAGATCCGGATTTTCAACTGCAATGTGAAGTCAGTGCTACTATACGGATCAGAGACTTGCACTGCGCGTCATAAAGAGCATCTCAAACAAAGTACAAACCTTCATTAACAGTTGTCTTCCCTCAATACCCTGCTCAAGATCAGATGGCCGGTCAGAAATAATCAGTAACAGAGATCTCTGGGAGCGAACCAACCAGGAACCGATTGTGAAACAAATAGGCAGGAAGAAATGGAGATGGATTGACTGGCCATACTCTGAGGAAACAAACCATCAAGTGACATCACTAGACAAGCAATTGCTCGAGTGGAACCCGAAAGGGAAGCGGCGAGTTGGTCGTCAGTGCAAGGGTGACTTGGAGGAGGTCATGTGAAGAGGGGATGAAAGCATGTGGGCAGACCTGGAACCAGGTGAAGACTCTAGCAGAGAACCGAACGCGGTGGAGACGCACAGCTGAAGCCCTATGTTCCTCTAGGAATTAATCGAAACAATAGTAATAATAATTCATCGAAATTAAGGTAAAGAAAGAATGAAAATTATTTCTAGGCAGGATAATATGAGCTCTTTTTATTTTGTAGAATGCTAGGTAAGGAGGAGAAATCAGTTGACGAAGCTGTGAAGCTACACCTGTTGAGATGCTCAGGACATGTGTTACATATGCCTAGCCATCGCCTGCCTTCCTCGACCGACGGGCAATGTTAGCTGATATAGGGTCAGGTTGGAAAAGAGCTAGTCAGTAGTGGTGAAACCAAAACATGGCTTCATCAGTCAATGAAATCCACAACAGTTAGTTTGAGCCACATAGAAAGGTGTAGACTTCCTGGTTGGAGTTCTCGAGACGGTAAAAACCAATGAAGGCTGGAGACAATTGGCGATACGGCTCGAAATCCTCGTTCTCAATGGATGGCGCAGATACATCCATTCCTTGTGGCTTATAATTTCTAACAAAACTATATTGTTCTTCGTTATTACTATTTCTTTTGTCTCATATCCCTGTCTACTGTCTCTATTATTCATTTCTTCTATTTTCTTCTCTTGCTTTGTGTGCTACATGAAGGGAGTGTGGCGACTGGAATTGCTGCACATCGGTGCAAAGTTCTGTGTTGAAAACAGATATACAAACAGACGTAGATTCTGTCTCTTCAACTGTGTACATCGTAAATAAATCAACTATATGCCACAAAATAGCGTATAAACATACTTTTTACAATGATTTCATGTTACAGCTAGAAAGTATAAGCAACATAGTTTGAAAGATGATGTAAGTAGACAATTATTTGGTGTGAAAAAAGGAAATTTCTATGTTTGGTTTGTAAGGATTAGTTTTGTTTTTACTAGTTGATGACAGGCTATGGGCCACTGAATCGGGTCCCAGTGGTTCAGTGGTATACGAGCTTGCCTTGTAACCGGAAGGTCCTGGGTTCGAACCTAGGTAGAGTGGGTGCGAACTGTCGATGATTCCCAAACTAGTTGGATGAAACAGCTGTCCAGTACTCCAGTGCTGGTTTTCAATGGTTCTCTAACTGATATCAATCCATGATCAACTCGTAAAAACAAAAGAGTAACTATCTATATAGAGTAATAAGACAAGACAGGGGTAGATTTCAAATTTCTTTTGGAAACAAGCCTGAACTGGAGACAAAATACAAGATAGAACAACACAGTTAATTTATACATATTTATGGTGGACAGTCCAGGAGGGTGGGGGTGAATAGTGAACTAAAAGTATAAGATAGATAAAATAATTTAATTTAATAGATTTGGAAACTTAATAGTGAGTTCAACTCAGTGATTGGGAATCAAAATCAAGATTGAATAAATTTTTACGCAACTGAACAAAACACAAAAGCAGGGTAGTGAGAGATTAGTCACACAGTGCGTCGGTGACACAGTGGTAGAATGCTCGCTAACCATGCAGGTAGTTCAGGGTTCAATCTTCGGTCGACGTACCCCTTTACCTCGCTAAGCCAGTAGTAAGACTGGTAAAGAGGGAAGGTTTGGCATGACGCTAGCAACACCACTGCTATCGAAACTTCAAGCCTCTAGCCTGAAGCCCTATATTCAACCGGGAACGTAAAGTAATATATTAATGACAATAAATAATAAATCATACTATCTTTCTGTATACAAAAGTTGGGTCGAAGTCTTTTAATGCCAATGGTTTCTGCGGACAGAAGTAACTATGCTTTCTTTTGTGTATTGATTATTTTGGAGGCATGACTAATTTCCACTTTATGTCCCAAAATAATTGTCTACTTACATCATCTTTGAAATTATGTTGCTTATACTTTCTATCTATAATTTGAAATCATTGTAAAAGGTATGTTCATACGCTATTATGCAGCTTATGATCGATTTATTTAGGATGTACGCAGCTGAAGAGAGCGAATCCATGAAATAAAACGAGCTCGTATCATCCTGCATAGAAATTATGCTTGTTCTTTCTTTAATCAAACTAATAAAGAGAACCGACTGTATGAAAAAAAGATACTCTGGAAGATTACTAACTGCTAACTAGGTTTTGTTGTTTAGTCAGAGGTAGTCAGAATGCCGTTCATGTCGTGGTATATAGTACTTTCTATGTAAAATATAGGTACTATATGAAGCGTCCATACTACAAGCCAATATTTGCGTTCAGTTAGTCAACGGGAAAAAAATTTTCAAGTATTCGTGTCAAGGAACTTAGCCCTCAGTTCCTATTGCAACGAAGACGCTTTGAACCGATAATGACTATGCACTTGTCTCGACTTCAACTCCAAAACACCAGTAATCGGTAGAGAGTTATATTGTTTAGCAATTAAAGTAAAGACAATTATAAGTCTATTAACAAATGTTTTGTACAAAATTAGAAGGTACTTTTATTCGTATTCTCTTCTCGTCTTCAAACTTGCACACAATCGAACCATTTGCGCCTTCGAGTTGCCCGCCAATGGTGACCAAGGTCAGTGAACCAACGTTCAATGTTCATATTCCTTGACAATTGGTTTTATAGGGATTCCGTTTGATTGGATGGAGGATTTCATCATGAGGTGAAATCAGTTGGCGAACCACTGGTAAACCTAGGATTACTGGACAGCTATTTCATCCTAGTTTGGGATTCTTCATCAGTAATCACGCACCCTACTGAGGTTCGAACCCATGACCTTCTGCTTACAAGGCTAATGAGCTCGTAGACCATTGAGTCACTGGGACCCTCCCTATCCAATGGCCCATAGATTACAACTTCAGCCAATTCACAACATAGCACGACCACTTCTCAATGTCTTCTTCGATAAGTTACTGCCTCATCTTTAACCTGCTGTACCATACTGGTCACGGCTTCTTACTAGAACCCTAGGTCACTGTCTGAATAGAGGCAGTCACTAGTGAGCATCAGATTAATTTTCATGTGGCTCAATAGTCTACGAGCTCGTTAACCTTGTAACCAGAAAGTCATGGGTTCGAACGTCAGTACCTGACTGCGTGCGTACTGATGAAGAGTCCTAAACTAGGATGACGAAACAGATGTCCAGTACTCCCAGGTTTTCCAGTGGTTCTCTAATTGATGTCAGCTCATGATAAAATCCTCCATCCAAAAACAAAATTCACCAAAAGAAATAACTAATCCCTGTTGAACAAGGTGTGACTCTCTAGGCCCTATTGGTGTAGTGGATAGCTAGCGCACTGACGTTTGGAACGATGGGTGCTGGGTTCGAGTATCGGTGGGAATACCATCACTCATTATAAAATTCAGGTGCACCCAGATGACGAGTCAAAAGTTGGACGAATTTCGCCGTCAGTTCACTGGATCTTTTTTTTAAAACTATTTTAATTGTTTTTTTTTCATTTTAATCAGAACAAGTTGACGAACTATATCGATCCAAGGAAGATCATCAGTGTATTCCACCACCACCTCCACAGTTCTATACAACAAGATCCGGATTAACATGTCGTCGATATTATTGTCAAGTTTGTGGTCCACTGGCTAGAACAAATTTAAAAACTGGTCCAGCATGTATTAAATACATTGGAAAACTCCAACGTCAGATGGATTGGATTTCAGGAACAACATTGCCCGATGCTTTGACACGATCACGTGAAGCGATGGTTCGCCATAGTCATTAGTATCATTTTGAATAAGGACAAAATTTATCAGTGTATCAGAATCTGCTAACTGAAAATGTTTTTTGGTATTTGTTAGATTTTGTTTTCTTTCTGGCTCATTCAACAAGAAGAGATGAGCATTAAACTTTTACAGAAACATGAAAAATGCCGAGATTTCATGACTAATTTATTCCGATTCATTTGTAAGAAAACATACAAACTGCTTATTACGTTAACACATGTCTTAAATTTCACGTATAGATTATGGAATTTCAGATTTATTTAGTTCCATTTGTAACGACAAAAGACAAGGGTCAGGCAACAGATCCTTTATTGAGAAGTCAAGAGATATTCATAGATTTTTATGTACATTATTGTCAGTGGAGAAGCAACGTCTTCTGATTGGCTATCCTTTTCTTATTTATTATTATTGCTTCCTTTAATTCCTAGAGGAACATAGGGCTTCAGCTGTGCGTCTCCATTCCGTTCTGTTCTCTGCTAGAGTTTCCACCTGGCTCCAAGTCTGCCCACACGTTTTCATCTCCTCTTCACATGACCTCCTCCAAGTCACCCTTGCAGTGACAACCAACTCGCCGCTTCCCATTCGATAGGGTTCCACTCGAGCAATGGCTAGTCTAGTGATGTCACTTGATGGTTTCCTCAGAGTATGACCAATCCATCTCCATTTCTTCCTGCCTATTTGTTTCACAATCGATTCCTGGTTGGTTCACTCACAGACATCCCTGTTGCTGATCTTTCTGGCCGGCCATCTGATCTTGAGTATTGAGTGAAGACAACTGTTGATGAATGTCTGTAGTTTGCTTGAGATGCTCTTTGTGACACGCCAAGTCTCTGACCCGTATAGTGAGTAGCACTGACTTCACATTAGAGTTGAAAATCTGGATCTTATTATCATTTTTCATGCTGAGTGCTGTTGATCTCCACACAGACTTGAGAGTAGTGAAAGCTTGTCTTGCTTTTCCCATTCTTGCTTTGATATCCTCGTCAGTTCTGTCCGCCCGTAGTTGAAACCATGCTTCCCAGGTAGGTAGGTAGGTAAAGGAGGTAGTTTCTTTCAGGTTCCTCCCATTTACGCTGGCTGATTATTGTCTGCTGGTGTTGCTGTTACTGTTGGTCAGGAATCCCCATAACCTCTGTTTTCTCTACGTTCACCTGAAATCCTATCTCCTCTGGATGCTTCTTCTATCGCCAACCTGTTACTTTTCACTTGTATATCTTCCAGTTTGTGGGAAGGTTATTCTTTATTGCTTGTGATCGTTTCTCATAAAGTTAAGCCATATACATGCGAATCGTATTTGCACACGTTAAGTCTGTTGTGATTGGTTGTTGAGTTCCTCAAGGTTAAGCTTAGTTACTGTTTTTCTCATGACCCCGATTCGGTGATGTGAACATTGATATAAATTGTATTCTACCATTTCGTCTTGTTCGCAGCCACCTCTCACCACACAGTTAATGGATATCGTCAAGAATTAACATCAGTAAGAGAGATCATTGAATACGAAGGAGTACTGGACAACCGTTTCGTCCTAGTTCGGAAGTCTTCTTCAGTGTATCCTCACGACCGCATTAAAGGTTGAACCCGGGAAGTTCAGGTAACTAGGGGAAACTCGTTGACCATTCAGACACTTGCGCCGGAATCCAGTGACCCCTAAACTCTAAATTTGCCTGTACATATCTCAATCTCCGGAGCACTGATGACTTCTGGATGAATGTTCCAGAGCTGTATTGAGACAGTAATCCACCATATCAAGATGGCGTGGATGCCATTGATTAGTGGTAGTGCTCTACCACGAATTGACAGAGTTAGAATTAGAAAACAGAAAGATTGAGCGAAGAAATATTTACTTTTCAATTAGATCCTCATCTCTGGCTCTACTCTAATATAGGTAGCATTTTTATTACAATACACAACAGTTTACCAATCAAGTGACACTGATATGTTTGTTAACAATAATTAAACAGTGTCAAAATGTCAATGGGTTGATCAATACACGTTTAAAAGGTAGAAATGGTTAGAATGAATTAATTTTACAAGGATAACACGTAATTAAAGATGATTTGGTCAAAATAAAAATAAAATAATTTGGAAAATTATAATTTTTATAGTTTTTAAAGGTTTAGGGGGAGGGGGCGACGTAGTCCTGTTGTAACGATGGCCACGGTAAGGAAAGTGGTTGTACAAATTTCTTCTGAACACATAGGCTTGGCTTCTTCAGGTGGATTCCTATTGCTTCAGCTGTCTGCAGAAGACGAGCGCGTAGAGCGAAATTAAGATTAGTAGGAATGCGATAAATAATTTTAAATGGAGTACTAACATCAACCTTATGCTCAGTATCAACAAGGTGTGCTAAAATAGAACTACAAATAGTTCTTATTTGTCCCTTGCTTAACTGCTATGCAGGATGATGTTCGGAAATACGACGATGAACCTGCCTAGTTGTACGCCCAATGTAGCTGGCTCCGCAACTGCAGTCAAACTGGTAGATACACATGGAAGAGGCAAATTTAGATAGTTTATCCTTATCTCTCGAACATAGAATAGGGATAGTTGTGAAGAGACAACGTACCTCTGCTGCATAATAAGCTCTTTTAACTGCATTCTTCAGGCGCTGTGTTATTATTTCGCTGAATTCATGAGTCATCGTATTCCTGCCCAAGTGACTGAATAGTCAACAAGCTTAATCTGGCAATCTGAAAGCCTTGACTTCAATTCCGTCCCAATGTGGGACGAATTGGCCCTCCAGTACTTCCTCGTTTTCAATGATTTCTGTCACTGATGTTGCATCACGATGGAATCTAATAACTAAAGTTAAATTTCATAATTATATCTAACGTCTTAATTGTTGCTGTAATACTCTTGGTTGATTATCACCACTTTGAAAAATTTGATATTATCTAATTATTGTCAGACAAACTTATCACCACTAGATTGGTAAATTTTATTTCGGATTAAAATATATATTTGTGTATAATCTCTCAGGATACAATACTACAATGTTGGAATGAACTCTCTGAAGAGCTGTTTCACTGGCCTACAGTCACTTTTACTTTACCCAGCATCCAACACCGATTTGAATGATATATTGACATTAGTCTGCCAACTGTAACTGAGGTTTAAAAAGGTTGTCTCTAGTCTGAAACGAGGAGAAGCAGTAAGGCTTGAAGGAATGACTCGACAGGTGTTTAAGAATGGTGGTGACAGACTGTTTTCTGCATAAACTAAGGTAGTAGATAGTATCTGGGAATCAAAGATATTTTCGTTAGACTCGTGTCAGTTATTATGTGAACATTGAACGTTAGTTCATTGACCTTGGTCGCCATTAGCGGGCAACTCGAAGGCGCGAGTGATTTGGTCGTGTACAAGTTGGAAGAAGATGAAAGAATACGAATAAAAGTACAATGCATTCCTTGTAAAAACATTTGTTTATAGACTTAGTACAGAATATTGATTTTAGCAATCGAAGAATACAGTTTCTTGTCATTCATTGCGTTTTGGAATTAAAGTCGATATCTGTACCTAGTAATTGTCTATTAGGAGTTTCTTCAGAAATGATAGGAACTTAGGATTAAGTTACTTGACAACTGGTGTAAATCACTGATTACCCTAGTGTATAAGAGGAGAGATAATACTTCCTGTAATCATTATATGGGGATTAGATTGGCTTATATAATTTCTGAAGTTCGAGCTTCAGTAATAATGTGTAGACTAAGCGATGCTCGAGAGAAATAGACCTGGGTAAACCAGATAGCCTTTAGACCAGAAAGAGCATGTCTTGATAATGTCTTCAGCCCTTGACAGATTCTGGGACATAGGGATACTTACCGGTGCTCAGTATTTCTATATTTCTTCACCTGAAGTCAGCATTCTATCCCGTCAACCGAGAGGTGCATTGCCAGTGTTGATCCATGAAGGTATATCATACTAGTCATGGCAATCTACTCGATCTCATTCAGAGTAATCATCTGAAGTGATGACAACCAATGGTGTCCTCCCACTCTCTACATTTCTCTTCAGTTTCATCATAGTTGTATTAATAGAATTGAGCCTAACTAAATTTACCAGCCTAGGAATTGACTTGATGTCACGAAACAGTCTTCTTGACTTAGAGTATGGGTATGATACCGTTCTTTTAGTTGAAGGACATGACACAATGCAGAGTATTCTGAACACCTTGAGTGGAAATCTTCGATTGCTTGGTAAGCCATTCGTCCGTGTCAAACGTAAGCTGATATAAAGTGAAGTGGCTGAGCGTATTGATGGACTCATTGTTGACAAAATCTCAGCATAGATACAAAAGGCTGGTGTGTCATTTGCTGACTGAGATCATCTATGGCGTAGACATAATACCCGGCTATTGTTCAAAGGACGCATGTACTGAGCAGCTTCTTTTTATGGTAGTGTAGGGTGGCCAGTGACAATGGAAGACCTGGAGAGGCTGGCTAGTTGTCTCGGACCATGGATGTTTGCTTTCTGTGTCCCGTGTACAGTAATATAATATGGTTAGTAATTTTGAGGTTAGGCCTATAGTAATAGGTAAGGAGTTTACGTCATTCGATGAGCTTTCGAAGCTGCCTCGATCGAGATCGCGGAACATGCGTTGCTCACACTGAACCATCGCTTTTCTTGTTCAACTATGTTAGATAACATTGGTTTGAAGCAGTCAAGTAAGGGAGTGTAGACTGTCTATCTGGGATCCTGGAGACGCTAAGGACCAATCGCTTGAGGCCATCTGTAATATGGCTCAAGACATTTCTCAGAGGTGCTGATGCGTTAACTCTTCGTGATATCCCAGATACACTAAACCTGCATGTTTCCCTATGTTAGTATTCTTTCTCCGTATATTTCTGCTCCAATTCATGTGTACTTGTCAGTTCACCTGCTTCTGAGAAACGAGTTACATTACTAGTTCGTCGCAGGTCTCATCACAATGTGTGCAAGAACACTACTTTGTCTGCTAACAAAAAGGTGGAAGTGGATCTGTTCAACAACGGTTATTCTATCCTTAAAAACCCTTTCTTTAAAGTTTTTTTATAAGGCGGAGAATGACTCGCTAAAACCATAAAGTGTCCGTCTCATTTGTACTGATGAAGTCATAAAAATAAAGAAGTCAGGGTTTCAAACGAATAAGGAAAATCTTCTTTCACAGTCGTAACACTTTTATATCAGGTAAATAATGAAATATGTAAGAGAAATACTCCTTCTACTTCTAATTTA